CGTTTCATTTTCGTCGTTTTCTTTATTATTTTCCGTTTTGTTATAAGAAATCAAAAAGCTATGTCCGATAATGGCAATTTCATTAAAATTTCCAGGGTGAGGGTAATTACAAAATAAATCCAGGCGACACGATAATGTTCATATCCACTCTACACGGAGGATAAGACTCATTTTGTACGCAAGAGAGAAAGACGGCAGCCCAATGAAGAGGAAATCAAATATGATGGTACGGGATCTGGCTCGATTGCTTCGAGGGAAAGTGATAGTTCCGCGGGATGCTTGTTTGTGTAAGGTGTGCGCGCACGTGCATATTGTCAAAGAATAAAATGCTCATTCGCACGACGTACGTCTGGGATGTTCCAAGTAACGACTATGATATTACGGCTGACACTTTGGCCGTTTTCCAAGGATTCCTTGGTATTATTGCCTCTTCTCTTCCCAGTCTTTTCTCGCTACATAGCCAATGGGCCATATCCTGTTCCCCCTAGCGTTTCCACTAGCGGCGGCGTGACTCGTCTACCTCTGGTACTTAGCTCTTACCGTTCTCGTGCTGGTATACAGCTTTGCGTGCATTACTCCGTAATTAACGTTGCAGAAGACAGAACGAGGAAAGAGAGAAAGATAAAGTGATGTAACTTGTACAATAAACGCTTGTTTACTGTACGTGTATCAATTTGTTCGGAAGGATGTTGTGGACTCTTTCCTTCAAACTTTCCTCCTTGTTGACTTTGATGAAAAAAAAAGAAGAAAAAAAAGGAGGAAAAGAAGAAGAGAAAAAAGAAAAGAAAGGAAGAAATTAGCTTCCGGTAGCTGCGTCGGAAAATTAATTTCAATATAAAAGCGGAGATTGCGCGCGTGCGTCGTGATCAGTTCACATCGAGATTTAGTTGTTGGTCCCTGGAAGCTCTATTAAAAGTAACGATCGTACTTCCAACTTGATAGAAAGAAGGAAGAAAAATAAATAGAGGACGAAAGAGCGGTAGTAAGAAGGAGATCTTTTCATGGAAAAAATGAGAAAACTTCTTCTTCTGTATAATTAATTACCGGCGGTAGTAGTTCTTTACAGTACACGATAAAGATCGTATCGAAGGTTTTTCAACTTGCCCGACCGAGTGAAGTTAATCAAGCCTGCTACTCGTTGCCGCGATGTCTGCGATTCTCCCCTTTTGCTCATCGATCGACCGTGCTTTTCAGCGTCGTGCCCTGCGTTCCGTTTAAACGCGATACGCGCGAGGGCAGCGACACGTCTCTGAACTAGATTTCCGCGATATCGGAGCCAATCAGCCGTCGATGGAGGTCGATAGGCGAGTCGCTTCATCATATAATAAACTAACGAGAAACAACACCGCCAATTAATCACAAGCTCGCATCGCGCGGTGAAATTCGACGAAAACGGTCTAACGAGCATCGACTCCTCCAGTTGGGGGAGCAATCGATGTTACAGCTCGAAAATTTCAAGCTAGTCAATCGTTAATTGTAAACGAGAAACTTTCGACGGGCTGTTTTTCATACTACGTCAACACTTTTATACATAATATTTGTATAAATTGAAAGGAAAATCATTGTTATAAATTCCAACGAGTTTATATATATTTGCTTTCAATAAATTTAAGCATATTTCGTTATTTTGTATTTTCAATTGTTTCGAGTCATTGGAAATTATAATAATTGTTCAGTTTTAGAATTTTTAATTTAATTGAGTTCTGTTACTAATCTCCATAAAGTCAAAAATTCTAAATCTTAATTGTTGAGAGGCAACTGATTAATCTGTGCTCGAAAGATTTGCAGCGCAAATTAATGCTTTCAACTGCTTCAACTAGTTTCATTTTTCTTTCCTTTTTAGGTATCTGTGTAACGTTGGCGTGAGTGGATTCGTGTGTCGTTTGCGCCACTGCGTATCCGTATTTTGCGCACGAATACAATGCATTTTCAAGCGTGGAGATACGAAACGCATCCCCCTGTGAAACCAAGTGTCCCGATCGCTAATGGTTCGGCAGGGTTGGATGGTCCAGTGATTAATTGTGTCAGCCATGATTACATTACAGAGGATTCAGATCCACTATATTATATACGATCGTGCATGCGTATACCTCGCGGCCAGTCCGTAACACGTGCGTCGAACGCACTTGTGCGTGTTAGCTGGATGTCGGAGGAGTAAGCAACGTGTCCACCCAACTAACTGATCGCGTCGCAGAAACGCGCCAGGGTAACGTTCGATGACACTGCTAATATGCAATTCTCTATCATCTATACATATTCGTACATATATTCCATAACGTGTTGTATATTGATATAGAATAATAATCTTTCGTTTCGAATGGCCAGAAGAGTCAGAATGAAGAAAAAGCGACGAAGATTCTGGCCAGTTCGATACATTGATGTACATAATTCTGCATCGTTTCACATGCGAAAGAACGAGGAAGATTCTGGTCAGTCCAATAATATTGATGTATATGATTCTACATCGTTTAATATGCCGTGGTAATTGATTGCAAGGTAATAATTAACCATTTTCCCTGAAATCTACGTATAAATTTGATCGGAACTATTAAAGTGCTATTGAATAACGATGTAATTTGTTAATTGATGTCCCAATTAATCTTGATATCTCAATTTGCGACTATTAAATTCGTGGCCGCATAAATAATTCCGCAGGAGTGGAACTGCTTCTCGATAATAATTCGCCGGTGCGGTCGGCATTATTCTAACGAGTTCCAAGTTTAAAAAAAAAAAAGACGATAAAAGGGACTGGAAGAAGTAATTACAGTTGGAACGGAAGGCGACTTAACGTCGCGTCGATTCATTTGTGACTTGGCTCTCATTAGTGGCTTAATTTCCACGAGAGCCGTGCGAGATGCTTCCTGACGAAATTTTCGAAATTTCTCCCGATGCCAGACGGTGAAATTCGTATCTTTGTCCACTCGAAGAAATTAGGGTGGGATCCTTTTGGAATCAGACTCTCTCTGGCCTCTGTGGGCCATCCGCGAAGATGAAATCGGGCAAGTTGGTATCGTGGCGAATTAAAGTTTCACGTCGCCCCGCTAACGATTGTTTCAAACGTTGAAAACGTACGTATAATTTCTGTTATCTCCACGGGCCGCCGTGCCACGAAATATAAAATAATAAAGGCCAGGGTGAACGCGAAGCGACCAAGAACTTCGGCTATTACAATGAAACAGTTCCGCGCAAACGCGTCTTCAACTTTTAACGGCTCGCCCTCGTTTTCTTTTGTGCTCTCTCTCTCTCTCTCTCTTTCTCTTTCTCTCCTTTCCTTTCCGGTCTACGAGCCCCTTGCGCTGCTTATTTCCCTTCGCTATCGCGAATTTATTTCTCTCGACGATCGTATTCAATTGTGTTCGGAAAGGGAATCGGTCAGAAAGAGGGGATAAAAAATAATTGCCTAGAAGTATCCGTATTGGTTTGTAACGAGATTCAGATACTCGATAACTTTTAACTTTTTTCTCCACTCTGCTTTCTTTTTCTTCCGTCCGCGTGTGTACTGCCTATATACAGGGTGTTTCGGTAATTGCTTGCTGATAAGCAAATCATTGTTTCGAGTGTTGGTTATTATATAGTTATCATCAGAACGTTATCTTTATGCATATAATGTATAAAAATAGTTACATAAAGAAGTATATTACTATTTTGTATCGTCAAACGTGAAGTAATCTGTGGGCAATGACAAAGAATTTTACTTAATTCCTGACCATCGTTGATATCTTCGTTATTGTAATACTAAGAAAATAATAGATATTTGAACTGCATAGGCTTCGTTCAGATTAATGATTGATTATTATGAATAATTACACAGAGAATAATTAAACATCGTACTTTGGTAATTTACTTAAGATTCGTTTGTTTCTTCCAATTGCTAATAAATGCTCCAAATAACACACATTTTTTTTTCATCTGTTTGATTTCTCGAATAGAGTGCGTCAATTTAATAAAAACCTCTCAAAACACCCTGTGTGTACATACTTACATACATGTGCACATTTTTTCCTCTTGTTGAAAATTGCTAAGTGCTTGGCCGCATAATTACATTCAGCCAGTTCCCCAACGAGCACCATATTTATTTCAGTTTACCACCATTAAGGTACTAATCCACTTAATTTCTTTCTAGCCTCGGTTAGGACTCTGCTGCTCTGTTTTTTGTATTTCGATGCCTCCTCCGCGCGCAGGTAACACATTGCAATTAAGCTCTCGCGACCGAAATAAAGCCGCCACAAAATCCTCTTTCCTGTTTGCCAACACGCGCGAATAAAATAAGAAAGTGCCGCGTTAATTGTCGGGAACGAGATGACCGTGCGGTTTTAAAGGACTTGTTTTTTTCGTTTTTCAAGTCGTCGTTTCGGCCCGTTAAAATGATTAATTTCACCCTGTGATTATGTCGTTCGTGGAGGGTGGAAAAAAAGAAAAAAGAAAAGCCGCGTAACACCATCGTGTCGCGTTGATGTCTTCGTTCACGGTGTATATACCGTCCCTTCTCTTCCGGTGTAATATTTCACCGACCCTGATAATTTGCGCAACGGCGAATCCGTTATCGATTTTCCCGCGGCAAAGTGGCTGTAAGTAGTTCGTGGTCGTGCATGGTCGGACGTTTTCCAACACCAGAGTCGAGGAAAGAGATTATTTGAAGGGTCCAGCCGCGTTTGAAATTGCACGCTCGCTGTCAGCCAAACGATGTTGTCTAACGGCACGTAGGCTTGACATTTCCTTTCTGATCGATTCCAGTGCAATTGTACATACCAATTATTACCAATTAGCAGAAGTGGGACTAACTGTAAGTATCTCATAAGCAGGTTCGAATCTTTCAAGACGTGATTTATTATAAGTGTTAACGTCTGCAGTCTCAGATCTCGAAGGATGTTTTTGTTTTTCAATGCTGGAAAACAATTGGCAATGCGTCTTTTACTTCAGAGAATTTTTCAAATATTAGGTGAACGATTTTTCTAGGATTCGAAAGCATTTTTAGATCTAACATCCAGCGCTTCATTCAGATTCGTAAATACACGTTGGACTTGATTCTATCTCCATTGATCAGGGCAACGACGTCGAAAGATCGAATCGAGATTCGTTTCGCTACTTTTTCTCTGCCTCTCTCTTTCAACAATGGAAACGGAGAAAATCTCATATGGATAACATCTGTCGTTCGCGTTTGGCTCCGATGCCAAAATCATCTGAAGAGAAACGAGCCTCATCGGCCTACATCGTTTTTTCACTTGGCCAGTCCCGCTTGCTTGGCCACCCCTGATCGACGCTAACGTAGAAGCACTTTTCTTCGCCCAGAAATCCGCTCCCTTTCAGCTCTCTTTCTCTCTGCTTTTCTTCGTGCCAATGTCTCCGAGACGCGGGCCATCAGCATAAAACGCGCAGTTTTATGAGCCGTAGCGAGTAGACGATCTCGTGTTACATCTTCCTCAAATGATCCCTCTTGTTGCCTCTGCTCTACAATCGTCTTCGCGCTGTATTCCCCCCTGGTTTCATCGGCGGGATTTTGGACGACGTGGTCGTTGTTACTCACAGTCCTCTGCCCATTTCCCATGTATTTCTTTTGATGTGCCTCGTACCTTTACTCGTACATCATCGGCAAGTTTTCGTCTCTGTGCTAGTTTTTACTTCTCTCGAAGTCTTATCGCCCTTGTTCCGAGCGTGAACTGCATCGTTCCGGGTATTACGAGTAATTTTAATTTCAATCGCGTGGTAATAAAGCTATAAACCGAATGACCGGAGTAAATGGCGGATCGTGGCTCGTATAAAATCATCTCGCAGGGATGAAGCTGCAGGCGGCGCGCATACGTTGACAATCACGCGTATTCATGAAAATGGGATTTTATTACGGCGGTTATACGGGGCCGCTCTAGGACAAAACGATAATCTCACCGCGGGGCTAATATAAAAATTATGCACACGGTAATGATGTCACGTCACGCGTGTATCCGCGCAGTAAATCGTGCTTTTATAGGGCTACCGCAACAATATCACGGGAAATTATTTGACCAACGTTGGGTTCACGGGAGTCACCTCGCTGTCGTAAAATGGCAGGCTGACACATGGCGCGTAAACTCGCCTTAATTCGACCTATAAAGAAAAGCGTTTACGTCAAGTGCAGTCAGCGAATCTGTTTCCCTTTTTGTTCGTGTCCTGCCGCGTTCTGTGCGAAATAAGTGAGACAAATGAATTTCGTGATATCCCTAAATTTCGTTTCTTAATAGATCCTTTTTAGCATTTACTCGAGACGAAATTGATTTTTCAATTTGAAAGATTTGTTAACGAAGCTACGTAATCAGTATTTTATAAGAGTTCGTAGAAAAAAGGTATATCAGTAAAGGAATGTGTTTTTCAGTTGTTGAAATAAGTTTTACCAGGAATATTGCACACGAAGAAGAATAAAATAATGGTATATTTACAGAAATAATAATAAGAAATAATACAGTGCATTACTTGTTAAGAAAGAAGGTGTTAGTATAGAACACTCTGGAAACGACAAATTCATTTGACCTTTGTTGTCAGCTTTTATCATAGGCTGCAGTATTTCGCAATAGTAATTGCCGAGAGGAAGAAACACGAGTCTTTAACTCTTTATCCTCGACGATTCTATCTACAGATGCGGCGAGTTCTTCTAAAAGCTCACGCTATTAAGAATTAAGGAGGCCGTTCGGTTCATTAAGAGCATTGTGTTTACCAAGAGACTGGGAGAATTCGCCAATGGTAATAACGATTCACCTGTGTGTACGGCCATGAAGAATCGCCTGGTGTTCATTGACGTGGAAAGAAAAGTAGAACTGAACGTTGAAGAAGAAGGAAGAAGGGTGGAGGGGAGGAGAGTAGAAGCGAAAGAAGAGAAGAAAAGGAGAATTCCTTCCCCCAATATCTTTCGATCTCCCGTCGAATGCACAACCCTGGCAAATTGGAAGGAATATACTCTTCTCCTCTCTCTCTCTCTCCCTCCCTCTCTTTCTCCCTCTCTTTCTCTGGAATCGAGCGGAATGGGAAGGATGAGAACGAAGAGGAGAGAGGACTGGATTGCACAATGCACGAGATTTCGTCCAGTCCATCGAGAGTCCCATCGCGTCCCCATAGGCAGCTATTAGGGCGTGGGGTTGCTGGGAAGGGTGTCCCGCAGGATGGCTGGATAGCTGGGTGGTTTGGAAAGCTGAGAAGGGGTGAGGAAGGTGGATAATTTGTCCGGCATCTACCTCCCCACCCTCTGCAGCTGTCTCCTTGTCCCGTTGGTTCCCCTTCCAAAAGCTTCGGGCTCCATCTCGCTGGGGCATAGCTAGCCAAAAGAACGGGAACAACTGTACGCCGCTGACTCGAATCCTAACGAGGTGTCTACGTCTATTTTACTTGGGGCTTACGGCCGGTTCTGAGATGTGCAGAGTGCGTGCATGCACGCATGCGGCCAAATCTCTAAGGATAGTACACTTTAACTCTTCGACGAAGCTAATCGCGAAATGATGGCCAAACTGTGAGCAGTTGACTGATCGTTACACTAATCAATGTTTGAAATTGTTATTCTATTCGTGTCATCAGGAAATGTGACTTTACATCTAATTATGGGCACGGAACTCAGCATCAAAGAATCAGACATCTGCAGCAAATGGGCGACAAATAGCTCAAAATCGGCACTAATTTTACCCATCTACTCTGTTGGAATGTCGTCGGGGAACGTACGCTGGTCGTTTGTACTCCCTTATCGAGGACTGTAAGTTTGAAGACATAGGTAGTTCCGCGTGACGATGTTTCAGCGCGTAAAACAAATCCTCTTAGTTGGCAGGGGTTCGCAAATGCGCAACGTTTACCGATGTGTCGTTTTAAAGCGCCTTCTAACAGAGGTTTATGAAGAAGACAGCGGAGCCGCTGCGACGACGGTAAGGACACTCCACGGAGGTTTATGAAGAGGAGAATTAGGAGAAGAGGAATAGGAGCGAAAAACCAAGTTACGGCGGTAGCCATCAAGCTAACTTCTTACTTTGGTAATACCCTTCTAGTGGCTGCTTTCACATAACTGCGTCTTCTGCGTGGCTTCTGCACAAGGGAGAGGCTGGTAAATGATACCGTGGAGAAAGAGACGTGCCGAGGAACGGAGGGAGATGAAACAAGGGCCGGGGAGTATCTAACAATTTGTATGTACAGTAAGCCTCTGTAATTGCCAGACCACCTATCTACCCCCACGAACTGCGCGCACCGAGACCCCTCGATGTTTCTGCTCTCTCGCGATTTACATATTATAATTTATAGGTCAAAGATATCGGCTTGCCGGGGATGCTGTCGACGTTGTTGTACTCTCTGGAGAGACGCGAGCGTGACAACGCGATTTTTGATCGTAATACCGCTTTAATGGCGACCTGTTTCGTAGATTAGAATATTAAATAACGAAATACCGCGACGGGGTTGTGGAATTTTTTTTAACAAAGTTGAGCAAAGTCGAATCTAATTTGAACGAATCGTAATAAGGAATCCCATTTCGCTTAAAGTAATTACACACTGAATTAACAAGGGGACAAAGGTGTTTGGTTAATAGAATTTTCGAACAACAGAGCAACCATTGTTTTAACCACTGACATTAAATTAAATTCAAATGGAGATTAAGAAAATTGTCTATTTCGTTTTTTTCGTTTATTACCTAATTTTTTAAAATAAATTCTTTTCGTATTTGAAACTATTGAAGTCCCTTTTTTTAAAGAACTTCATCATTTCCGTTTGCTGTTTTTGTTTGTGTAAACAGCTCTAATCGAACTGATAATTTATCACAAAATGAAGCACGATGTTTTACATGTTCCGTCAGTATTTTTCCAGTAAAATCTCGTATTTTAGTAGAATTTTTCTCTATGAAAATATACATACTTATAAAATAATGTAGTACAAGGAAATGTAGTGAAATATTACTAATAAAAATTCTACATTTTAGACGAGATGAGAGATCTAAGAGTATTCGGATAACGAGCGTTCAGATATATAAGGTTTTACTGTATTTACATTACAGCGTTTTAAAAATTCTTTGCGATCCATATTCCAGCGAAAGAGTTAATATAATACAGCTAAAAGAACAAGAAAACCATTTTCAAAGAGAATGTTTCAAAGTCGATCTTATCGGGCGTACTTAAGATGATGATCAATTCATTTGCTATCGCGTGCCTATAAGACATTGGAAAATTAAATGTAACTATATCTAAATGGAGAATCATCGCAGATCCCCGGTAAACGCTAAAGGCGGTTTGATCCTACAGGCAGTGCCTCCATCACCCTGGAGAAAACCGACCCTTCCTTTTCCTTCGGATTGTTTCTCCGGTGGCTGGGTTATGTGCTTTAGGATAACGTTCCACGATCACGCGATGACTCTCCACCTTTTAACCCCTCGGCTAAGTAGTTTTAGTTACCCCACGGTGAAAGCCATCCTTCCTTCTCTCGCTCCGTTTCATCCGTCTTCTTCTCTCCATATCCTAATACCCTCGGCTCGTACATCTTCATTCGCTCTGCCGTTTTTTAAACACTTAGATTTTATCACCGAGTGCAACGTGTACGAACGGTGCGAAGTCGTTCGTGAAACGTCGATCTCGTAACAAGCGAGAAAAATTTCATTTCTAAATTGTCGAATATCATGTAACGTTTCAGTGGAATTAAACATTAAGGGGATATTCTCTTTACTCTTCAGGCAGATGTACAAAATTCCAAAATTTAATTAGTCTCTTTGTTCGTGGATTAATTAAGGTAAATCTAATAAAACATACATTTTTCTTCCTTGAGGGATAATGGGATATTAATGACTGTATTCGACGACTTTTGGCACGAGTTACGGTTTAACGACGCAACTACGTCGATGTTAACGGCCGTACGTTCCCATTTCGGAGCTTTATTGCGATTCTTATTTATCCGTGCGTGGTATTTCTGTATGTATTATTCAGTCACACACAGCATTCCGTGGTGGTCGTACGAATCGCGGACGAAATTTCGCGAGGATGAAGGTACCTTTGATAGATCGGTACGCGAAGATAGAGTTGATATTATGCGTCGAGGGACGAGGATACGGTGGGATGAATACGATCGCGTGTAAAACGTTTCTTCGTTGGAAAAAATGAGCTCGATCTTGGAAAGTAATTCAACCGTGAGAAATATAAAACGGTGGGAAAATACGACAAATGACGGGGAAAAGGAACGGGGTGGCGTGCAATTCCACGGAAACACGGGCGTAAAATTCCACAGAACAAGCTGGAATAGAAACTTATTATTCCTTTGGATCGAGCTCGCGCGAAATTCATATGGCACACCGTGAGACTGCCGAGAAATATTAAGGAGTTCTGCGTATAAGCAGCAGGATTCTGGGTATACATACGCAGGTACGTACGTGTGGGAGAATATGTGCTGAGAAAAGGTTTTATCCAGCGCAGTGAGATCGATCATCCAACCCACGGACGTAATACTATTGAAAAATTGCAATGGAATCTTTTGTGTGCACGGTGAGAAGCGGAACAATCGTAAATACGAGCCGGAATAATAAAAAAACGAAAATATCGAGAAGAATTCCGTTTGATCGATAAACCGATAAATATCATCCTTTAATCTGATTTAAATCCTCGAGGCATAGTGGATTAAACAATGCCCCACGTTTTCAATACACTGGTGGGATATTTTTCAATCTTCCTTGAAAGATGAAAATAACTTATGTTATATCAATCTATTTATTTGATTTTGGTCATTTTATATCACTTTACACGTTTAACGATTTTTCACAATTTTTTAACGAAGTTAACAAATTTTTGCGCATCTTATTAAGATGAAACTTTGTGCCTCAAAGAATTAAAGTGTCTTATCGTTAATTAGAGGGGCAATTCGTTTACGTTCGCCATAAGGAAGCACTCGCAGGAATGAAAAGCTGCAGGAACAAAGCCGTGATATTAGAGGTATTAGAGAATTTGAAAAGTCATCTCGTAAACAAGAATGTAACAGTAGGGTCTCCCGGAGAGCAGCCGGGACGTCGTTCTGGATATTCCGGCCATGGGTGTAACATTGAATATGCATTAGCGTCAGTACGTCGATGGTTACAGCTACGAAGGAGGGATGAACGGAGTCGACGGTGACTCACATTGTGACCGGAATAAGCAAACTATCCTTTAAGGTTGTTCTTCCCCTTGGCTCGACAACGAGGCTTCCCGTGCCCGTTCCCGGTGCGACAGCATGACGAAGATTCTCGATTGAATTATCGTAATCACGCGTTTCCTTAGGTGGCTCTTTTCTTCCTTCCAATCTCATTTACGCTTCAGCCCAATGGCTGGAGACGAAGAAATGTTCTTCGTGAGGTGACTACTTGAGAATTACGCGAAATCAGACTCTTTGGTTAAAAGTCTGACTCGACGAGCCCTCCGGTAATTGCCGAAATACGAATTCCCTCGTCGAGTCTGTTGTCACTTTGTTCGAGTTTTAACCCACGGATGCTAGCCGCGAGATCTCGTATTAATATTATTATACTTTTGAAACTAACGCCACAGGTGTCATTCAGTCTGTTAATTTTGTCTGACAAAGCTTTCATTCGATAGAATTCGAAATTAGATTTTTATTCTTGTTACTCTTGTTATTCTATGGCGTATCGTACATTTCTACGTAATTATACATATTGCGTAACCTGTCCGATGAGATGATTGGACGTATCCTTGTAAATGCACGCTGCTTATAATAATAAGTTATTTGCGAGGTCGTTCGTTAATTTGTGTCATCAATAGCGTATAATTAGGATAGTGTGTTGATGAGAGGCTAGGTAGCAGCAAAGGGAGCCGAGAGAGAGAGACAGATAGATGGGGGAGCATAAAGGAGTTAAGCCACAACGCATCAAGCTCACACGTGGGCGTGCGTGATAACGAAGCTTACCATCGCGATCGACGAATATGTCTTGGACGTGCATGTGCATATAACACGTGCACGCGTCCATCGACCGTGTGGGTGGTTCTGGGTGGAGCTTCGAAGTTTGATATTACCCTGGCAAGTGTCCATGGCAATCTTATAACTCAAGTGCTCACTCCCTATAATGCGTGAACCGTACCCTTGCACACATGCACGTACACATATAACACATACACGTGTACGCGGACATGATACTAATACTATTTAAAGCATTGTCTGTGTCATCGAGCTTCTCCCCCCCCCCCCCCTCCGTATGGCAACGTGCATTTAGATTGCTCGGTCAAAGTTCTCGTAATACTTTTGGCAGCTGTACGTTCCAAGCGAGCAGCGAGTTAAGTTTAAGTTAAATGAACGTGCCACATCAGATTCGTTTGGAATTGTACGTCCCTTAAATTGTCACGGTGTTACCCCACGCCTAATACGAACCCTCGTTGCCTGTCCGAAATTCTCCCTCCGATTCAAGCCTAACCAGATGCCATTTCCGTTCCAGTGGAAATCACACGGTTATTAGCTAATCGCGATAAGTTAATAACGTATTTTTCAGGACGGGTAATTAACCATCTTGTCAGTTTTTCGGACGAATAATTATATTTACGGTCGAATAATAACAATGTGTAACTAAAAAATACCCGTAAATATCAACGTCGGAATATTTTACCAGTAGTTACGTAAATCGAATGATTTATTAATACTCATTTCGACGTAAACGCGCGAAGATTAATGAGCTGCGCGGGACGTTTCGTGCCCCCGTCACAAATTTACGCAGCGTTGTTAGCTTTTAAATCAAGTACCAATCGATAGATACCACGCGCCATATATCGAATTTCGATACGTGGATTGCTCTCGAATCGTGCGTCACAAGCGCCACCCAGTTGCATACCGCGAACGGGCACGCGTTTCATTTACCGTATTTTCGTCTCGCGTATTTCGCCGCGTATATTTTTACGTGTTATCGTTCGACTTAAATATATCGCGC